CTCGTTTCGGCTGATTTGTGGACGAGCGATCATCTCTCGGAGCGCTCTCGACGCGTGGATGCTTTTTTCCGGAACGCGCGCGCGCGGAACACTCACGCTGCATCATCCCCAGGTTCCACTGGCGGCTCTGGCTCGCGGTCGCGGCGACGGTCGTCGTCGGCGGCGTCGTCGCGTTCGCCATCGCCGTCGCCGCGGACGGCGCGCCGCGCACCCTGTCGGCGGGCGTCGAGTCCGCGGCGACGCAGCTCTACCACGCGACGGCGCTGCTCCTCGCCGGCGACGACTTCGAGTGGCTCCGCGGTCCCGGCCGCGCGTTCCGCCTCGGCTTTTTGTTCTTCGCGCTCGTGACGTCGGCGACGTACACGGCGAACCTCGCGGCGTTCCTCACGCGGCCCAACGTCAAGGTCCTGGGCCCGCAGACCATGGACGACCTGGCGACGTCCGTCGCGTGCGTCGAGTACGGGTCCCTCGTCGCCATGCTCGGGAGCCTCGTCGCGGGCACGATCTCGCCGGACACGCACGCGGCGGACGGCGTCGCCTACGGCTACGACGAGCTCGGCGCGCGGACCGCGTGGTGCGTCGACGCGGTGCTCGGCGGCGCCGCGGACATCTTCATCTCCAACGACGTCGGCCTCCACCTCGTCGGCCTCGACCTGTGTGCAAATCAACCACTGGTTTGGGACGTCCCGACCAAACTTTGAAATTCTCTAGCTCGCTCAAATCGAAGTCGATTCGGCTGATTTTTGGACGGATCGATTGCTCTCATCGAGTTCTCGAAGCACAGCGGAAGTTCGTGTGTCAAAACATTCGAATACGCTCACATTGAAGTCGGGTTGAAGATTTGATTTCCACACAGGCCTCGACCACTGCGAGGACCTGCACCCGGCCGCGGGCATCCGGCTCATGATGCTCCACACGCACGTCTTCGCGAACGACGCGGCGCTCGCGCGGAACATCTCCTCGACCATCGACGCGCTCTACTCCTACGCGTCGATCTACGCCGTCTTCGACGAGCGCTTCCGCCGCGCGGAGTCGTGCGGCGAGGCCGAGGTCGGCGAGACGACGCAGATCAAGATGGGCGACATGGCCGGGGCGCGTACCCGGTGTCTCCTTGTTCTTACGAGAAGTACGGCGCGCGAAAAAACACCGTAGGTCTTCTACATCTTCGCGGCGATCGCGGCGGCGTCGCTCTTGTGGGCGGCGTTCGAGC